AGAAGCCTCCTCCTGCCAAAACGAGGACGAAGGGTCTGTGTTTCTAATTTATTCTGCCCCCTTCCCGTTGTTACTTAAAATAATCCATCATTACATGGCTGGTGGCTCCAGGAATTTTATTTAAAGCAATATGGAGAAAAAAAGAAAGAAAAACTCATGACTGCTATCTGGATTTAAGTTGAGAATGTTTTTAACATCAAGAGTCTTCGAAGCACTCAAGTGTACGCTCCTCTGACCCCCATGAGTGTGCCGTGAGGGGGGCGTGCAGTGAAAGAGGGAGAAGAGAGGACATGGCAGTATTTTTATTTCTCGGAAACATGAAAAGACCACAAGTGTTTTTTTAAATGAATCTGTGTCATCTGGTAGGTGTGTTGTTGTTTTATCCACTGACCAGCAATAACACTTTGGACCAATTCACTTTAAAGAGGGCAATAATACTTTGTCCAGGAAGCTGTTGGAGAAAATGAAATCATACAGATGGAAGCATTTTGAGATCATTGAAAGAAACGTGTTGCACTTATCCATGGTATTCGTTTTCTTTTCTCCCTCTTTCTTTCTTGAATGTGGTTTTAATGTTCACGCAATAGAAGCCCTTCTTGATTGTTCACGTTGACACAAAACCCCAACTCTGATAGTCCAGGAGGCCACGAAAGTCCAGAAATCAGTCCTGTTTCACTCCAGAATACCTTTTTCCAGGGGAATTGGCCATCTAATTAGATTTGCTCCCGCTAATACACCTGGTTTGCTCCCTTCAGCACACAGAGGGAGGGGCCATGCTGAGTAACAAAGCCAGCAATTAATAGAAAATTTACAGCAGAGACTCCACAAAGTAAATGCTGTGCACGTGACTACAGATCAAAATCTCATTATACTATACAGACAAATCACTCAGCTGTAATGCAGTTATGGACTAAGAACACCACTAACATATTTCTGGGATTTAGGATATGGAAAGGAAACAGGGCTTATTTCTGTCTTGCGTCTGGAAGCTCTGAGAGGGCAGCATCCTATTTGCCTTGACCACACTAGATCCCCAGCACCTGGAATAGGGCCTGGCAGAGTCACTGACCAATAAACACACACTGAAGAAATGAATGAAAATAAATGTGTGTGAATTAACAAAGGAAATGTTCCCAGCCCAGAAGCAGAAGTGAGATCTCACCCATCTTCACACCTACCCTTTTCCTAGTTGAAGCCCTCAGAAAGCCTGTCTCCTCACACACCACCTCCATCCACTGCTGGATTAGGGCTTCTCATAATGAATTTGCATAGCAGGCAGTAGCTCTCCTGTGCAGCACTTACCACATGGTAATTATATAGCTATTGGTGTCTGCCTCTGCTGCAAGAATGTAAACTCCCTGAGGGAAAGGGTCCTGGGGGTATACATTGTAATTTCCCCCTCAACCGTTTATTTTGAAGCCTCAAACACAGAGAAGAGTTGGGAAACAGTACAATGATCATCCGTATACACTTAACTTAGATTCAAGAAGTTTGAATATTTGGAGCCATGTAAATTCTTCAGTGCTATATCCCCAGTATAGGTATGGGTGAATATTGGGGTTTGTTCTCCCTGTTTCAGATAAAATATTACTTTTAGTGTGAGATAGTGGAGATGGCTGAGGCAGGGAGCTTCAAGGCGAATTAAGGACAGCAAGCCCAGAGCACAGCCCTCCGCAGGCAGTTGCCCTAACACAGTCGCCCCAAGGCTAACCCTAGTTAAGGCAAAGTTAGCCCCTGCAAGCTGTTCATTAGTGAGAAAAACTACTGGAAGAAAGCATCATTGCTTCTTTTTTTTAAAGATTTTATTTACTTATAGACAGAGGGGAAGGGAGGGAGAAAGAGGGAAGAAAATGTGTGGTTGCTTCTCATGTGCCCCCTACTGGGAATCTGGCCTGCAACCCAGGCATGTGCTCTGACTGGGAATCAAACCTGTGACCCTTTTGTTTCCCAGGCTGGTGCTCAATCCACTGAGCCACACCAGCCAGGGCTCAAGAGTCTATAACTCAAAATGCAACACAAACAGCTCATTGCGGGGGGGCCGGGGAGAGAGAGGGGGAGGGAAGGAAGGGAGGGAGGGAGGGAGGGAGGGAGGAAGGAAATAGAAAGAAAATAAGCAGCTTATTGCAAGAGCCAGGAATGCAGCCTCTGGGACCTGCACTGTGCCTGGCCTGGTTACCTTGGCCAGGTCATGTCTTCCTTCACAGTATGTATATATTACTAGCAGCCAAGCCACCTCACAAACAGGGGTTGGAGGGGCAAACATCCCAAGAATCTGCTGTAGTTCTCTAATTATTGTGTCCACAATTTGTCTTCCCAACTAGACTGTAAGCTTAGAAGTCAGGAATTATGGCTACCACTTTTTTTTTGTAGGGTTGACCAGGGCTAGCCATCATGCTACACACTTAGCAGTCAATCAAATAAACACTTGTGGTCACAATAGATAAATCGTTTTGTTATGCAGAATCAGCGTTCATTCAAATGGGATGGAATTGTATTATGCAGAGGAGAACTGAACTTGCAAGTTGCATGCATGCCCAAATAAGGGCCCTACCCAACATCTCTAGGGCCTGTTTTAATCTAGCCAGAGTGACCCTCAATTGACTCTGAAAAGAGGACACACACACACACACACACATGCTGGGACTACTGCATGACACCACGTCTCAGAGCTCACTAAACAGAACTTTTAAACCAGGCACACTTAGGTTTATTCTCCAGTCTTCTCTTCCCAACCCCTGGATACATGTTCCCTGGAAGAAACAAGCTGCAACCAGATGTCCAAGGTCTCCTGAGTTAATTCCATCTTTCCCTGGTGAATTACAACTTCTTGCAGACACAAAGGACGGCAGAAAGACAAATGACACATTAAACAACAGCCTCACTGGCTGGGGGAGGGGGACATGGAGAGTGACGTCAGTTTTCCCAGAAACCCATTTATCACGATAACAAGGTCTCAAGTGCTCAGGCTGCTCTTTGAGCTTCAGAATCTGGCTTGCAATTATGTTCTTCATCCTATAGTGTGGTAAGGCCAGCCAGAGCAAACTGGAACCAGGCAAAGCAAACCAGGTGGCCCTAGCCAACCCCCATCCCCCCACGCCCCGCACCAATCTACAGAACAAAGGGGATCTCTGGGTTGCCAGAGTTGTTCTAAGGTGAAACACAATCTTCTAGAAGATATCTCTTTGCAACATCTGCCCTGCAATCCTAATCCAGGCAAGGGAACTGGTGCGAGAGTGTAGACAAAATGCAAAATAATTAGCCAACAAGAAAAATCATTAGCATCCTTTTTGGTCACGAAGGATGGGGACGTGTAATCCAGGAGATTAATTCTTCTACTTAAGCCATGCCTTCTCTAAACTGCGGGTAACGAGGAGAAAAGCACTCTGGAAACCCTCAGAACTCTAAAGTAATAAATATTAGTGCCAATCTTGGGGAGAAAAGAATTCTCTCAAATTCCATTGTGCCAGTGCATCCTACCTACTGAGTCCTTCCACATGGTGAATACCTAAAGCGCTGGGGTCTGCAAAAGTTAGGGGGAGGTTCCAAAGAAATCATCTGCCCTTCCCAACGGGGACAAGAGGGTGGAATAAATTCATATGTATCCTGTAGAGAAAACACTTGGATTCTAGATTGAGATTTTGAAAACAAATCAATTTCAATTATAACAAATACCTAAAGGCTTTTTTCCCCCACCGGAATTGCACTGCACAGACTCCTTCCCTTAATAAGTAAACCACAAGGTTTTCAAACGTGTGTTGAGATTTTCATCGAGTAGTATTTGGTGTCATGGGATTTGACCTACCTCTCCTTCACTCTCCTTCCTGGCCTCTGGGTGCTGTTAATTGTGGACTTTTGAAAATTCCAGAAATCCATAGATAAATAGAAAGGCTAGGTTGCCCCCCCAAAACGGAATCATCCCTTCCTTTTGCAACCAAACTTCTTCTCTAAAAAAACAAACATGGAGCCTCAGGTCACTTCAACATGATTTCTCAGGCTGGAAAACTTCAGTTCTTTAAATGAAGATTTTTTTTTTCCAGAGTCTGTTGCCAACAAAGAGAGGCGGCATCGCTTTTGCAAACCTCACAATTATTTTCCTGAGTCCCCACAGAAAGAAGCCAGCTCCACAAGTTTTGGCACACGAGCCCAGGTACACTGAACACGCACCATTACAGACCCCCGAAGGCCCGCACAACCTTGGTCAGGTGCTCAGAAACCTGCCAAAATACGCAGCCGAGCGCCTACAGGCCAGTGGACTGCACCCCACACAGACACACAAATGGGGCCCAGAGGTACGCAGCACAAGCGGAGAGGCGTCTGCACACACCCTGGAGGTGAGCACACTCAGAAACTGGCAGACTCATCTAGGGTCAGACAGCAGCCGGGCGCCGCCGCCCGCTCAGGAGGCACGAGTGCGCGCGCGTGCACTCAGCCGCACACAGAGCTACACACTCACAGACGCAGTCACATATGTAATGCATATGGAGAACCCCTCCCCCCGCCAGTTACCTCCCTGTCCCCCTCACCATTCATGGCCTCCTGCCACCCGCTAACCCTAGCCCCGCGCCCCTCTTTCTAAGGGGAACGGGTCGCGACGGGCAGCTGCGCTAAGGGGCGCGGCCCGGAGGTCTAGGAAGCTAGACCAGGGTGCCAGAGACACGGAGGGCTTGGTGACTTGTGCGGCCATTCATTCGGCAACGCCCCAGCGGCGGGAACGCGGCTGCAAGGAGGGAAGCGTCGGCACTTACTGCAGATCTTGGGCAATGCAAGTTCAGCCGCCGGCCCACAGCCTTGGCCAAGCCCCCCAACTACCCTCCACCGCCGCGGTTCTCAGGGACAGGCTGCGGGACTGAGCCGCTGATCCCAGGAGCAGGAGTCCCACTGCGCCTTGGCTCCTGAATGTTGCCCACCGCCCTTTTTGTGGTGGCGGTGGCAGCGGCCAGGTCTCCTCCGCCCTGCGCAGGCCCTTGAAGCGGGTGCTGGCACCGAAGCCCCGTACTCACCACCTGGCGAGCTATGTCGGTTGCTGCCATCGCTCCTGCGTCCGCCAGGGCTGCCACGGGCGCCGCCGCAACGGGAGCTCCGGCACAGGAAACAGTGGAGCTCCTCCGACAAAGAGAAAGTGTTACACTTCGGGCGCGACCAAGTCCAGTGGGGGGAGGTGCAAGGGAGGAGCCCCCCTCGCCGCTTCTCCAACCCCAACCTCCCTTCTATCGCCCACCCCCTCGAAAGTGGGGTCTGGGAAGGGGGTGGATTTAACGCGCCGCTTCCCCCCACCAGACGGGTTCCAGTTCTCCCCACAACCTCAGTCTCTGGCCTTTGCGAAGAGGGGCGGGGGCTCCCCTCGGTGACCACGTCCTGCCCCCCCCGCCACTGGGCTCCGTGGTACGTCCCGACCTCTGCTGAATTGTCACACCCCCTGCTCTCTCCTTACATCTTAGTCCCCAGACCCCGGAGGCTAGAGGGGAGCCCCCGCCCCTCCCCCTCCCGCGCACAGCTAGGAGGCCGAGCTCTGCAGTCTTAGTTTCCCTCCTCCAGTCCCTAGACCCCCTCCTCGTCTCCACCGAGATAGCAGGGAGCTAGGGTTCGAGCCCCTGCCGCGAGAGTCTCGTTGTTCCACCACACCTGCCCCCCACACCTCCGTGGCCTGAGAGTGCTGCTGAGGCCAGGGCGGGAGGGGGGGGGGCGGTGAGGGAAGGAGCAGCCGCCGCACCTGCCGCTCCACGGCGGAGTTTAGAAAGGGGGCGGTGAGGGGAGCCGCACTGCGGCCCCAAAACTGAGCTGTGCCATGCGGAGTCTGAGGCCAGCAGTCCTAAAACGAAGCGCCCCTTCTGCCCTAGGGTTTCTAAGCCTCTGGTGCCTTGGGCTATAATTTCGTAGAGCTGACCCACCACCGTCTGGGTGCTTAACCCTCCTCTCCCCACCTAGCCCTAGATGGTCAGCTTGGGAACCGAGATTCAGTCCGCCCACCCCCTCTCTTGCCTGAACCGCAGGGGAGTCAGAGGAGGGACTTGGGGTGAAGACCCCTCAGCTCCGTGGAACGGGATAATGGGGAGTGACGGGGGAGCTGCCGCCGGTAGCTCTGTCCCGCACCCTGTTTGCTCCTTTACCTTGGATGAGCTCCGGACTAGGCGGCAGGCAGTGCACTGAGGGGAGAGCCTCCTATGGCAGAGGCTCTGACTGTCTAATTTCCTTTTCCTCCTGGCGAGCTGCCGCCGCGGGTCCCCTCCTTTGCTTTCGGCACCTCTCCACCTCTGCAGCCCCGATGTCCCCGCCCTCCTCCCCGGGGAGTGCTTCTTGCAAGTTCCCTGGGACTGGCGAACCCTGGTAGATTTGTAGTGCCTGAGGCCCGAGAGAGCGGGACACTCCACTCCTCAGAAGGGCAGGCGCCCTAGTCTCAAAAGGGGACCTAGACCTTAAAGTGGCACCCGAGACCGCGTGAGAGAGGCAGGTCTTTGAGCGAAAAACAGGTCCGCAGGGTGTCCAGCATGGGGCTGGGGGAAATTGACGTAGCAGCTGCCCAAGGCAAGCGAAGGCGGGGGCGGGGGGAGGGGGGCCACGGGGGGTGCTGAGGGGGAGGCAAAAAGGAGAAAAGCAGAAAAATAGGAACAAGTGAGAGAGAGGGAGAAGGGACCTGACTGAGTGTCCCGGGCCTGGGGAAAAGGAAGGAAGGCAGAGAAATGGGGTGGCCACATGAAGCTCTTTTCTGCCACTGGATTCTACCTGCCAGGACAGTCCTTCTTATCCCTGTCTCAGGGAGCTCCTTATGTGCACCTGGAGAACGAGAATTCGCACAAAGCATCCCCAATGCGTAGCTTGGGAACTGGCACTCAGGAAGGGACCAATTAAGCGTGTCCTGAACAGGAGGGCAGAGGATTTGGATGTGTGTGTGTTGGGGCAAAGGGGGGTAGTACAGAAGAAAGAGGAGACGCAACGAGGCTGTATAGCAGGAACCACTGTAAGGCTAGACCGAGACTGGATAGGGGCAGGGAGTCTGAGTACCCGCCGCTTCCACAATGGGAGACTGGGAAGAAAACAGGTCTTTCCTGGAAAAGCCTGGGCGTGGTAGACGAGGAAGGGACCAGGTTACTGCCTCTGTTCTGGATGTGGGGCTTGGGTGGTGGCAGGAAGAGAAGCATGCATTTGAAAGCCAGAGCTGAAAGCTGATACCTAGAGCTGGCAGGAGGGGTGAGGATACTCGGCTCCTGGGAACCCTGCCTGCTTCCAGGTGTAGTACCCTCCCGCCTTAGTTCTCCGCACTAACCAAAGCTCTGGACATTTCGGCCCAGCGCCTTAGCGCCGAATCCTTGGCAGCCGGCTAGTGTGCTCCACTCTGCCCACCTGTCCCTAGGGACCCTCAGAACCTTGGGGGGACCTCCTCCTCCAAAACACTGGATCTCTCAGGCTGGAACCAAGTGTGTAATTCAAGTCTTCTTCAACCCTTCCGTCCTAGACCTGCCTCCTGCATCTGCAAGCCTCCCTGGGGACTGGGCCTCCCAGTTGCTGTGAGGTGTGGGTTGGTGTTGATGTGTGAGTCGGTGTGCCTGTCTGCTGTGTGTCTGTTTCAGTATGTATCTATGTGTGTGTATTAGCATGTGTTTACTCCTATGTTTATATTTGTTGGTGTATGTCAACCAGTGTGTGTGTGTGTTTCAGTGTGTCTGTGTTGATGTGTATGTCAGTGTGTATTCTCAGTGTGTGTCGGTATTTATGTAAAGGTGTGCACCCCAGTGTTGTGTGTTGATGTGCATCAGTATGTATGTGTTAATGTGTGTTGGTATATGTGTTATTGTGTGTCTCAGTGTGTTATGTCAGTGTGGATGGGGTATGTGTAGAGAGGTTTTAGCTCACTATGTTCTGGGCTTCATATACCTTATCTCGCTCAATGCAGTGGGCCAAAAACTGACAGGTGTGGATTATAATGGTTATTTCAACAAAGAGGTTTGGAAACTCACTGGATTTGTGCCTCCTGGTTTTCCATGCTGGGCAGACAGGAAGGCTCCCATGAGTGGTTGGTTTCTTTCTTCAATGTCTGTCCCCTCTTGGTAAGTGGGCCCAAACTATCCCCTTCATACAGGAATTGTGGACCCTCAGGCACAGTCATGAACATTTGTACATGATCTGTGTATCCTGGCAGAGTCCCTTGGGCCCAACACACTGTCTGGTAGGTGCTCAATCAAGGTTTGTTGAGTGAATAAATGAACAAAAGCACGTAAATGTGGTGTTTTCGGTGTTTCCACTGTCCTTAAGGAAGCTGGAGCAAGCAGCAGACTTCCCAGAGCTAGCAAGTGACTGTCATTAGCATGCTGATGTTGTTTGTGGAACCAGACTCCCCAGGGAGGGGAAATGGGACCCCTGCTAGATGGAAGTGAGCCCTGAATGGAGCCAAGTTTTAAGAAGCTCATTCTGACTCCTGGGGTAAGAGGTACTAAGACTGGATGGAGGTAGCAGGGAGGGGGAGGAGGACAATGAAACAGAACTAAGAGCTCAGGAAAGGGCTTTGTCCTGGAACCGTGACTTTATGAAAGGAGAAAGAGGATAGTCGAGTTGGTCTAAAGTGAAGAAACTCAGACCAATCTGAAAAGTAAGATCAGAAAGTGGGAGGAGGAGAACAAAGTGAAGTAGAAGGAAAATGATCTGGGATTAACCAAATCCAGACAGTGCTGATAGAATCTGCAATGCACTCAAGGGGCTAAATCAAAATGAATCAAGGATTCCTTTGTGCTCTATCTATTACCTGCTGCCCTTGCTTTCACGTTTGTTTATTCCGGTGGTTCTCAAAATGTGCTCTCTGGGTCTGCAGCAGTGGCATCGATTGGGAAGTTATTTATTACAAGTGCAAATTCTCAGCCCACCTCACACCAACCTACTGAATCAAAACCTCCAGGCCTGGGACCCAGCAATCTATGTTTGAACAAGTCCTCTAGGGGATTCTAATTTATGTTAAGGTTTGAGAAGCACTGGTTTATCTGAAATCTAGTTGCAGAGGGATGAGACACAGGACTGGTAAGGTTTGGTAGGATATCGAGGGGAAAGTTGGAAGCCTCGGCTCTAGCAATAATGAATGGCCCTGGTGGGCTTCTACAGTGGGTCACATGAGGGTACAGAGTGCCTAGGGCTGGGGAAGGGGTACAAAAAAGAGGGAGAGGGGACCCTTGTGGGGAGTTGTGGAGTTCTAAAGGTAAACTTTGCCTCCATTGCAATTTTACTCATTTATTTCACAAATGTGCACTGAGTCCTTACTGCACATCAGCCACTGTGCTAAGTGTCAGAGAACTCAAGAAAAAAAAATGGGTGACAAGAACCCCTACCGTGATCTGACAGAGCTCCCAGGCCAGTTGCCAGATAGCTCCACAAAGAACCAGTTATGTGATAAGTGATATAACCAGGCAGGTGCAAGACCTTGGGGAGGTAGGAACCCAGAGAGGTGAGGGAAGACACCTTGAAAAACAATCAGGGAAGACACCTTGAAAAACAATCAGTTGGTTTGAGTCTTGAAGTATGAGTGGAGTTTATCTGGCCAGCAAGAAGGTTGTGGATGGGGGATTGCAGAAGACCACTATGTGTAAAATCACAGAAAAAAAAGGACAGAAAACAGTTAGGGAATTTCTCAAGTCTTGGCCAGCCAGAGAGAGTGGTAGCGGGGAGGACAGTGGCTGTAAATGAGGCTGGAAGACAAGATGGGGCCAGATCTGAAAGGATCTCACTGGTCACGCCACAAGAGCTTAGATTTTCTGTCCCAGAGCAGGGGCTCTCAGGCCGTGCTCTCCAGGGACAATGCCTGCCCAGTCTGGAACCATGCCCAGTGCAAATGGGATGGATGCCCACAGTGAAAAAAAATCAGTTAATGGACAGAAATTTCTCTATTTTAACATTTAACCATAAATTGTTCCTAAATCTTTGACAGATGCTCCTGCTTATCTGCTAGCAAGCAACAAAACGAATGAATGAGTAGCAAATGAATTTTAAACAGACAATCCCAGTACTGATCATGCTTAATTCAACAGTTTATTTTTTCATGGACATCTGTGCTTATGGCTATGATTTTATATTGCACACACACATGATGCAGACATATTTTCTGCTAGCAGAGTGTCCTTTTGAAAAGTGTTTTATTTCATATGGCATGATTTAATAAGTCAATTCTTTCATGGCATTCTGGAAAGAACACCATGACATCCAGATGCTGTACCACCTGAACTAGTTGCAGAAACTAACTGTCCCTTAGATGGCGAGGAAGCACTGAAAGGTTTTGATCAGGGAAGTGATGGGAACATATTTGCAAATTTGAAAGGTCACTTTGGCTCCAGCTTGGGGAAAAGATTGGCGCAGAGGGCAATTAAAAGCAGTTAGAACTTGGGAGTCAGAACAATGTTGTACCTAATCAGGCTAGAAATGATGGTGACAGTGACATGGGAGTGGATGGCATAGAGGAAACAGATTCAGCATTAAAAGGGGCTACCATGAAGGAGGAGCTTGCGTGCCATGTTAAAGATGCTGAAGTTTCAACCTTTAGGAGATAAAGATCCTTTGCGTCTGTGTTTCTTAAAGCATGGTACCTGAACCAACTGCAAGAAAATCACTCATAGTGCTTCTTATACAAGCAGAGGCCTCGACCCCACCTCGGAACTGCTGAACCAGAATCTTTTGTATGGGAGAAGTATGGGTTTGTAACAAGCTTTCCAGGTGGCTCTGAGGCACGTCACAGCTGGAGAACCGTGCATGAATGGTTTTTGAGCGGTGCAATGACACAGCAAGATCCATGTTTACACAAATGACTCAAGTCATCACATGAAAAACTGATTGATGAGAGCAAACTAGAGAAAGGAAATCAGTTAGGAGGCTACTGAGATAACCCTAGGCTGGCTTTATACATTGGGCAAGAGCCAAAACTCAGAGGAGATTGGGCTTACCGCCCACATTATGATATACTAGTTATCCTTATCCCCTGATTTACACACACTGATTTAGACAAATGATACAATTTTGTGTTTTCTCAAACAATTCTTATTTGCCAAAATGAGTCTTCAGAGGTCTTTCCAGAGTCACAGAGTTAATCTAAGATATATAATTATGTAAAACGCATTGTATACCAACTATACCTAGGGCACGGCACCAGGCACTGTGGAAGGTACGAGGAAATAATAAAGCATGGCTTCCATCCTCAAGGTCCTTACCGTTTAAGTGGGGAGACTAGATATACATGCACGAAGTCAAGTAGTTAATACCAGGTGTGTCATAAGGCAG